TAACCGTAAAAGTCTTGGTTTTCTGCACATAAATATCAGAAGCCTCCTTCCTAAGTTTGAGTTATTCACTGCGTTAGCACACTCCGCCAACCCTGATGTTCTAGCAGTGTCTGAATCCTGGCTTAGGAAGGCCACCAAAAATTCTGAAATTTCCATCCCCAACTATAACATTTTCCGTCTAGATAGAACTGCCAAAGGGGGTGGAGTTGCAATCTACTGTAGAGATAGCCTGCAGAGCTCCATCATACTATCCAGGTCTGTGCCCAAACAGTTTGAGCTTTTAGTTCTAAAAATCCACCTTTCCAGAAATAAATCTCTCACTGTTGCCGCTTGCTACAGACCCCCCTCAGCCCCCAGCTGTGCCCTGGACACCATATGTGAACTGATTGCCCCCCATCTATCCTCAGAGTTCGTACTGCTTGGTGACCTAAATTGGGATATGCTTAATACCCCAGCCATCCTACAATCCAAGCTAGATGCCCTCAACCTCACGCAAATTATCAACGAACCTACCAGGTACAACCCTAAATCCGTAAACATGGGTACCCTCATAGATATCATCCTGACTAACTTACCCTCTAAATACACCTCCGCTGTCTTCAACCAGGATCTCAGCGATCACTGCCTTATTGCCTGCGTCCGTAACGGGTCCGCGGTCAAACGACCACCCCTCATCACTGTCAAACGCTCCCAAAAACACTTCAGCGAGCAGGCCTTCCTAATTGACCTGGCCCAGGTATCCTGGATGGATATAGATCTCATTCCGTCAGTAGAGGATGCCTGGTTGTTCTTTAAAAGTAATTTCCTCTCAATCTTAAATAGACATGCCCCATTCAAAAAATACAGAACTAAGAACAGATATAGCCCCTGGTTCTCCTCAGACTTGACTGCCCTTGACCAGCACAAAAACATCCTGTGGCGTACTGCATTAGCATCAAATAGCCCCCGTGATATGCAACTTTTCAGGGAAGTTAGGAACCAATATACACAAGCAGTTAGGAAAGCAAAGGCTAACTTTTTCAAACAGAAATTTGCATCCTGTAGCACTAACTCCAAAAAGTTTTGGGACACTGTAAAGTCCATGGAAAATAAGAGCACTTCCTCCCAGCTGCCCACTGCACTGAGGCTAGGAAACACTATCACCACCGATAAATCTACAATAATCGAGAATTTCAACAAGCATTTTGCTACGGCTGGCCATGCTTTCCACCTGGCTACCACTACCCCGGCCACCAGCTCTGCACCCTCCGCTGCAACTTGCCCATGCCCCCCCCGCTTCTCCTTCACACAAATCCAGACAGCTGATGTTCTAAAAGAGCTGCAAAATCTGGACCCCTACAAATCATCTGGACTAGACAATCTGGACCCTTTCTTTCTAAAACTAGCCGCCGAAATTTTCGCAACCCCTATTACTAGCCTGTTCAACCTCTCTTTCGTAACGTCTGAGATCCCCAGAGATTGGAAAGCTGCCGCGGTCATCCCCCTCTTCAAAGGGGGTGACACTCTAGATCCAAACTGTTACAGACCCATATCCATCCTGCCCTGCCTTTCAAAAGTTTTTGAAAGCCAAGTCAACAAACAGATCACCAACCATTTCGAATCCCACCGTACCTTCTCCGCTATGCAATCCGGTTTCCGAGCTGGTCATGGGTGCACTTCAGCCACGCTCAAGGTCCTAAATGATATTATAACCGCGATCGATAATAGACAGTACTGTGCAGCCGTTTTCATTGACCTGGCCAAGGCTTTCGACTCTGTCAACCACCGCATTCTTATTGGCAGACTAAATAGCCTTGGTTTCTCTAATGACTGCCTCGCCTGGTTCACCAACTACTTCTCAGATAGAGTTCAATGTGTCAAATCGGAGGGCCTGTTGTCTGGACCTATGGCAGTCTCTATGGGGGTGCCACAGGGTTCAATTCTTGGGCCAACTCTTTTCTCTGTGTATATCAATGACGTCGCTCTTGCTGCTGGTGACTCTCAGATCCACCTCTACGCAGACGACACCATTTTGTATACATCTGGCCCTTCATTGGACACTGTGTTAACAAACCTCCAAACGAGCTTCAATTCCATGCAACACTCCTTCAGTAGCCTCCAACTGCTCTTAAACACTAGTAAAACAAAATGCATGCTCTTCAACCGAACGCTGCTTGCACCCGCCCACCCGACTAGAATCACTACTCTAGACGGGTCTGACCTAGAGTACGTGGACAACTACAAATATCTAGGTGTCTGGTTAGACTGTAAACTCTCCTTCCAGACTCACATTAAGAATCTCCAATCCAAAGTTAAATCTAGAATCGGTTTCCTATTTCGCAACAAAGCCTCCTTCACTCATGCTGCCAAACATGCCCTTGTAAAACTGACTATCCTACCGATCCTTGACTTCGGCGATGTCATTTACAAAATAGCCTCCAACACTCTACTCAGCAAATTGGATGTTGTCTATCACAGTGCCATCCGTTTTGTCTCCAAAGCCCCATATAATACCCACCACTGTGACCTGTACGCTCTTGTTGGCTGGTCCTCACTACATATTCGTCGCCAAACCCACTGGCTCCAGGCCATCTATAAATCACTGCTAGGCAAATCCCCGCCTTATCTTAGCTCACTGGTCACCATAGCAACACCCACCCGTAGTCTGCGCTCCAGCGGGTATATCTCACTGGTCATCCCCAAAGCCAACACCTCCTTTGGCCGCAATTCCTTCCAGTTCTCTGCTGCCAATGACTGGAACAAATTGCAAAAATCTCTGAAGCTGGAGACGCTTATCTCCCTCACTAACTTTAAGCATCAGTTGTCAGAGCACCTTACCGATCACTGCACCTGTACACAGCCCATCTGAAATTAGCCCGCCCAACTACCTCATCCCTATATTGTTATTTATTTTGCTCATCTGTACCCCAGTATCTCTATTTGCACATCATCTCTTGCACATCATTCCAGTGTTAATACTAAATTGTAATTATTTTGCACTATAGCCTATTTTATTGCCTTACCTCCATAACTTGCTAAATTTGCACACTGTATATTAATTGTATTTCTGTTGTATTTTTTTATTTATTTTTGTTTTATTTTACCCCATATGTAACTCTGTGTTGTTGTTTTTATCGCACTGCTATGCTTTATCTTGGCCAGGTCGCAGTTGTAAATGAGAACTTGTTCTCAACTGGTTTACCTGGTTAAATAAAGGTGAAATAAAATAAAAAAATTAATACAGAAACCATCTACCCTCTAAATGTACACATAGTGCTGTATTGGTGTGTTCTCTGAAAAATAGTTATTCTACAGAAAATGTTATATACTGAACAAAAATATAAACGCAACGTGTAAAGAGTTGGTCCCATGTTTCATGAGCTGAAATAAAAGATCCCAGAAATGTTCAATAGGCACAAAAAGCTAATTTCTCTCAAATGTTGTGCACAAATTTGTTTGCATCCCTGTTAGTCATAATTTCTCCTTTGCCAAGATAATACATCCACCTGACAGGTGTGGCATATCAAGAAGCTGATTAAACAGCATGATCATTACACAGATGCACCTTGTGTTGGGAACAATAAAAGTCCACTCTAAAATGTGCAGTTCTGTCACACAACACAATGCCTTCAGATGTTTCAAGTTGAGGGAGCGTACAATTGGCATGTTGACTGCAGGAATGTCCCCCAGAGCTGTTGCCAAGGAATTGAATGTTTCTCTACCAACATCGTTTTAGAGAATTTGGCAGTACGTCCAACCGGCCTCAACCGTAAACCATGTGTAGCCACGCCAGTCCAGGACCTCCACATCTGGCTTCTTCACCTGCGGGATCGTCTGAGACCAGTCACCCGGACAGCTGATGAAGATGAGGAGTATTTCTGTCTGTAATAAAGTCATTTTGTGGGGAAAAACTCATTTTGATTGGCTGGGCCTGGCTCCCCAGGCCCACCCATGGCTGCGCCCCAGCCATGTGAAATCCATAGATTAGGGCCTAATCAATTTATTTCAATTTACTGATTTAATTATATTGACTGTAACTCAGTAAACTCGTTAAAATTATTGCATGTTGCGTTTAGATTTTAGTTCAGTATATAAATACCAGAATTTCGATAATATCCTCCAATATTCTCTATGTGCAACTTGTTATGGTATTTGGGATGCTATAACATTTGGTTTGAAGTGACTGAGGATTTTGGCATAATGTTTTAAGCATCCTGCCATAGGCCCTACCACTCCTATTGGTTCACTAGTAGTGATGCTAAAGCTGGCTGTGGAGTAAGTAAATAAATAAAACTAAGCCACATTTTTGGTAATGTCTCTTAGGATCAATGGATGAATCACTTTTTTCTCTCAATAAAATTCAGTATATTTCATATTTTGGTATACTGCCCCCTTTAAATGGCAGTCGTTTTTACCACATAAATGTGACGAAATTAGTATTTACTTCAAAATTCAAAAAAAAAAAAGCTAGTAAAATCAAATTATGCTAAATCAGCTTTTTAGTACTAATGTGGATTGTACTTTGGAAAAAAACTGCACATTATTTAAGGGAGACATATTTTCGTTTTACAGAATATGCAAATTGCAGTAATTTTGCTAAAATAACAGTCTGTTTTGGTTATTTTTTTTACTTCAGATAACGTTATTTACATGTCTCATGATGTTTGAATGAAGTTGATATTCTTCCATGATTGCTACTTTTTCCAATTTCTTCTTGGGGTCAACATTTCAGTGTTCCTCACCCCAGTCAGACCACTCCTAGACAGTCCTTACAAAATGATTGTTTGAGAAATTGCTATTGCAAAAAATCTATTTTTGTTATTTTTGAACAATTGAAAACAGTGGCACTAAGGTACTTAATTGTTACCCATAAATGATTTGATGTCGAGATAAAAACGCCTGCATTGGACCTTTAATTTTCCTTTTTGAAGTAGCCCAATGATTGACAGTGGTATAGTGGGTTGGGCTTTGTTGGACAAGCTGAGAGCCATCAGAAATGAGTGCAAGTCATTCGCTTTGGTTTTTAATGTAATTGATGAGCAAATTGGAAAGCAGAGGACGAGGGACAACGGCGCGGACACCTCACCTTAAAATGTTTCTTCATTTCAATTTAACGCAAACGAGCTTGATGTGAGCAAGGGGGAAACAAGAGCACTTTTTTTTTTTTTTTTTTACCTTTCTCTCACCTTCACAGTGCACCTATCCACTATTTCACCTCTAGTTTAACTTATTTTGTGGTACCTCGTCGGATACCTTTGGCTTTAGAGCACGGCTTCACCTGGGCACCCTTTTACTGCAGTCTCACGAAACCGCACCAAGATTTCTTCTCCAACTTTCTAAAGCACTTCAGGGAAAAATCCACCAACAGGGAAAAAATACTTTTCTCTTCTACAAAGAAGCGCAAAAGTGACACAATGAGTCTCAAATCTGATTCTGAGCCGAACAACAATGTTGTATCCTTGGAAGAGGAGGTAAGGGGAAGATTAGTCCTTGGTGTTTTGTTACACACTTATTAATCGTGTCAGTGGCGTTGATTGCTTTTTCCAGGTCTAAGGATTCCAAGAAGTCTTACTTCTTAAGACTTTGATGTTTTGCATAGTGTGTAAACTTGTAGCGAATGTATCTTCATTTGTAACCTAGCTACTTTGTGTCCTATAAAGAGTTTGGTCATTGTAAAAGTTGCCTGCGAGGTTCCTGTCTTATTCGTTATAGCCCGGAGGTTCCGGATATCAAAGCCATTAGTATAGTTACATTTTTAGGTTAATGCGTCATGGCCATTGTCCGTCCGTATTTTTGCGGACTGTTTTCCATAGCCTTCCGGAGTAGTGTAAATTGTTATATGAAACTTTGAAAATTAAACTTCTGTAGGACTTGCATATTGCGCCATATAAATCCAAATGTTGGTTTTGATAGGAGTGAGGCTACTATTATTGATTTCAAATGAAATTGTATTTTTCACATGCGCCGAATACCGTGAAATGCTTACTTGCTCAGAATTCACTGTTTTCACACTTCAACATAACACTTTTTTATAAAGTTTTTACTAAGTCAATATATTGGATAAGGATATTATGGAGCAAGTAGACCGAAAGCATGTTGACTTTCAGAATCACATTTAGGGCTGTCAGTGGATTGACACTATGCGACACACCTGCTGTAACGTAGCCTACCTTGTGGGAAAGCCGGCGTGCGCTCAAACTCCAAATATTGCTTCAATGTGAGGTACAATTTATTCGTCTTGTAAAGGCGAAGATACTTTACGCGAGTTCACTACTTGTAAACTAAATGGAGGATTTCTTAATTAACCTCTTAAGGATCGGACTCTTTATTTTTTCAATTTTCGCCTAAAATGACAAATCTAATTGCCTGTAGCTCAGGACCTGAAGCAAGGATATGCATATTCTTGATATCAATTGAAAGGAAACACTTTTGAAGTTTGTGAAATTAATGTAGGAGAATAACACATTAGATCTGGTAAACTGCAAACTGTGGGGCCCTGTGGGAATCTCATTTTATTAGTCACCCTTGAGATCATTCCAGAAAAAAAAGTTGGATTTCGATTTCCTGTGTGGGATGTATGTTCAGCTTAGTCTTCCCTTCATAATTGAGACCTTTAATAGCTGAACATTTGATTTCCCTACATTTTTAAGGCATGAATTGGCTGCAACTGCATTTTTATTAAATACAGCATGCTTGATGGATTTTGGAGGCTACTTCACTATATGGAGAGGGGAATGCATAATCAAAATGCACACTGCACATAATCTACAAGTAGGCCTACTGAACAATCTGCAATAATTACTGCTATTCAATGGTCATTTAAGCAATAATGCACGAGGGGGTGTGGTATATGGCCAATATTCCACGGCCAAGGGCTGTTCTTCTGTACGACGCAACGCTGAGTGCCTGGATACAGCCCTTAGCCGTGGTATATTGGCCATATACCACAAACACCCGAGGTGACTTATTGCTATTATAAACTGGTTACCAACGTAATTAGAGCAGTAACAAGAAATGTTTTGTCAAACCTGTGGTGTATGGTCTGATATACCATGGCTGTCAGCCAATCAGCATTCAGGGCTCGAACCACCCAGTTTATAATTAAATATACCCATCGACTCTTGAAGAATATTATACGTAGGCTATGCCTCCATTAAAAACTGTTTTACTCCATTGTTCGTAAACAATGTCTTTAACTTGAACTCATGGATTTTCATTCCTTGCATCCACAGCGCCAACTATGAATTTGAGTAGTTTCTCCAGCACCATCTCTTAGCTTTATAGCAAAAAAGTGGTGGGACTGCTGTTTGGCAAAAAATGAATTAGAGATTGTGGCGTTATGTTACAGCCTTATTCTAAAATGGATTTTTTTTAAAGAATCCTCATCAATCTACACACAACACCCCATAATGACAAAACGAAAGCATGTTTTTAGTATGTGTTGCAAATTTATATAAAAAAGATATGTAAATATATATATAAGTATTCAGACCCTTTGCTATGAGACTTGAAATTGAGCTTGGTGCATCCTGTTTCCATTGATAATCCTTTGTGTTTCTACAACTTGATTGGAGTCCACCTGTGGTAAATTCAATTGATAGGACATGATTTGGAAAGGCAATTCTGTCTACATAAGGTCCCACAGTTGACAGTGCATGTCAGAGCAAAAACCAAGCCATGAGGTTGAAGGAATTGTCTTTCATTCTTAAATGGAAGAAGTTTGGAACCACCAAGACTCTTCCTAGAGCTGGCCGCCCAGCCAAACTGAGCAATCCGGGGAAAAGGGCCTTGGCAGGGAGGTGACCAAGAACCCGATGGTCACTGACAGAGCTCCAGAGGTCCTCTGTGGAGATGGGAGAACCTACCAGAAGGACAACCATCTCAGCAACACTTCACCAATCAGGCCTTTATGGTAGTAGCCTGACGGAAGCCACTCCTCAGTAAAAGGCACATGACAGCCCTCTTGAAGTTTGCCAAAAGGCACCTAAAGACTGACCATGAGAAACAAGATTCTCTGGTCTGACGAAACCAAGATTGAGCTCTTTGGCCTGAATGCTAAGCATCACGTCTGGAGGAAACATCCTTACGGTGAAGCATGGTGGTGGGAGCATCATGCTGTGGGGATGTTATTCAGCGGCAGGGACTGGGAGACTAGTCAGGATCGAGACAAAGATGAATGGGGCGAGGTACAGAGATCCTTGATGAAAACCTGCTCAGGACCTCAGACTGGGGCAAAGGTTCACCTTCCAACAGGACAACGCAGGAGTGGCTTCAGGATGAGTCTCTGAATGTCCTTGAGTGGCCCGGACTTGAACCCGATCGAACATCTCTGGAGAGACCTGAAAATAGCTGTGCAGCAACGCTCCCCATCCAACCTGACAGAGCTTGAGAGAATCTGCAGAGAAGAATGGGAGAAACTCTCCAAATACAGGTGTGCCAAGCTTGTAGCGTTATACCCAAGAAGACTCGAGGCTGTAATCGCTGCCAAAGGTGCTGAGGGCTGTGTTCGAATACCCATGCTAACATACTGTATACTACATACTTAATGAGTGTATATACTATTAGTTCATTTTAGTATACTGTAAACGAACGGTATCCTTTCAGTTGAGCATAGACAGGCGTAGCGCTACTATCGGAAGTTGATGCTGTTGCTATGCAACCTCTCGACTTCGGGTGTGTTCGTCAATTCAATCTGGAGTGCCAGAGTGCCCACTTGACGTTCGTAAATTCTGAGCATTTCCCTCTCGGCGCCTTCAGCGCGCACACTGCCAGGCAGTGTCACTGGACGGTCTGGCCGAGGAGTAGGGTTGGTCCTAGCGTTCTGACCATCACAACGGCGGTCAAGCACACAAGCTAGCTGGCTAGCTACTTCCAGACACAAATGAGGGAACACCTCACTCTGACCATTTTACGCGCCCTAGCAGAGCTGGTTATCCAGAGCGTTGGTGACTAACTGTGCTGCTGGCAACAATTTAATTACGCATTTTTGCGACGTTTACTGACACCGGGTGTTGAGCATTCATAAATTAATCAGTTATTCTGCGCTCTGGCACACTCAGACGAGAGTGCTCTGAAATCAGATTAGATAGCAAAGGGCGAATTTTGTCCATTGAACGCACAACGACTATAGCACTTGGCAAAAAATTACGTGAATAATCAAGTCAATAAACGTTGGAGTTAGTTAGATAGCATATAGTTAATATACTGGCAAGTTCGACGTATTAGTAGCCAACTAACATTACGTAGCTAACATACCGGTACCTACTGCTGTAATGATATGCTATGCAGTTCGTAAGGATAGCGTAGCCAACAAATTGTCAGCCAACGTAGCGTAACTTATTTGAAGTCATTAATTTATTACATTGCTCAACGTATTCTTAACATTTGTCATAATTAGGTAACGCAATTTAATTTGTATCCGCTCTCGTCGTACTGCATATTCTCCACCATTTTCTACAAATCTGAAAATGTTGTGGAGCCACAGCCATTTTCTGAACTTCATTATGGGCCCTAAAAGCACAGTGTCCACTGCTTGTATACTTAGGTATTTTGGCGAATTTAGTACAACATCCGGGAACTTTTGGCGTACTAACTATTTCCATACTATGACCAATAAGCATACCTCATGCTAAATTTACGTCACAAATAGTGCAGTTAGTATGAGTATTAGAACACAGCTAAGGGGTCTGAATACTTTCCGAATGCACTGTATGACATGTCCTGTGTGGCTCAGCTGGTAGAGCATGGCCAGGGTTGTGGCTTCGACTCGCACGGGGGACCAGTACAGAAATGTATGCACTTACAGTAAGTCTTATAAGTGACTAAAATGTAAACAATAAGTGCTGTCTATTGGAGGGGAATCCTTTTAGATATACAGTACCAGTCAAAAGTTTGGACACCTACTCATTCAAGGGTTTTTCTTTTTTACTATTTTCTACATTGTAGAATAATAGTGAAGACCTCAACTATGAAATAACACATGGAATTCTGTAGTAACCAAAAAAAGTGTTAAACAAATCAAAATATATTTTATTCTTCAAATTAGCCACCCTTTGCCTTGACAGCTTTGCACAGTCTTGGCATTCTCTCAACCAGATTCATGAGGTAGTCACCTGGAATGCATTTCAATTAAGCAAGAACCGCTCAAATAAGCAAAGAGAAACGACAGTCCATCATTATTTTAAGACATGGAGGTCAGTCAATACGGAAGATTTCAAGAACTTTGAAAGTTTCTTCAAGTGCAGTCGCAAAAACCATCAAGTGCTATGATGAAACTGGCTCTCATGAGGACCGCCACAGGAATGGAAGACCCAGAGTTACCTCTGCTGCAGAGGATAAGTTCATTAGGGTTACCAGCCTCAGAAATTGCAGCCCAAATAAATGCTTCACAGAGTTCAAGTAACAGACATCTCAACATCAACTGTTCAGAGGGGACTGCATAAAACCTCTACTAAAGGACACCAATAAGAAGAGACTTGCTTGGGCCAAGAAACATGAGCAATGGACATTAGACCGGTGGAAATCTGTCCTTTTGGTCTGATGAATCCAAATTGGAGATTTTTGGTTCCAACCGCCGCGTCTTTGTGAGATGCAGAGTAGGTGAATGGATGATCTCCTCATGTGTGGGTCCCACCGTGAAGCATGGGAGGAGGTGTGGGGGTGCTTTGCTGGTGACACTGACCAATATAAAATCCTCCAGTAGGAGGCAGTGTAACAATTTTGTTTTCAGCATGAGTTCAAGCTACCCATTGTGCTGAGGCTGTTGCGATCTTACTCAGAAATGTTATAGGCCCTATATGTACACTGCTCAAAAAAATAAAGGGAACACTAAAATAACACATCCTAGATCTGAATGAAATAATCTTATTAAATACTTTTTTTTTTTTTTACATATTTGAATGTGCTGACAACAAAATCACACACAAATGATCAATGGAAATCAAATGTATCAACCCATGGAGGTCTGGATTTGGAGTCACCCTCAAAATTAAAGTGGAAAACCACACTACAGGCTGACCCAACTTTGATGTAATGTCCTTAAAACAAGTCAAAATGAGGCTCAGTAGTGTGTGTGGCCTCCACGTGCCTGTATGACCTCCCTACAACGCCTGGGCATGCTCCTGATGAGGTGGCGGATGGTCTCCTGAGGGATCTCCTCCCAGACCTGGACTAAAGCATCCGCCAACTCTGTCTGTGGTGCAACGTGGCGTTGGTGGATGGAGCGAGACATGATGTCCCAGATGTGCTCAATTGGATTCAGGTCTGGGGAACGGGCAGGCCAGTCCATAGCATCAATGCCTTCCTCTTGCAGGAACTGCTGACACACTCCAGCCACATGAGGTCTAGCATTGTCTTGCATTAGGAGGAACCCAGGGCCAACCGCACCAGCATATGGTCTCACAAGGGGTCTGAGGATCTCATCTCGGTACCTAATGGCAGTCAGGCTACCTCTGGCGAGCACATGGAGGTCTGGATTTGGAGTCACCCTCAAAATGCCACCCCACACCATGACTGACCCACCGCCAAACCGGTCATGCTGGAGGATGTTGCAGGCAGCAGAACGTTCTCCACAGCGTCTCCAGACTCTGTCACGTGCTCAATGTGAACCTGCTTTCATCTGTGAAGAGCACAGGGCGCCAGTGGCGAATTTGCCAATCTTGGTGTTCTCTGGCAAATGCCAAACGTCCTGCACGGTGTTGGGCTGTAAGCACAACCCCCACCTGTGGACGCCGGGCCCTCATACCACCCTCATGGAGTCTGTTTCTGACCGTTTTAGCAGACACATGCACATTTGTGGCCTGCTAGAGGTCATTTTGCAGGGCTCTGGCAGTGCTCCTCCTGCTCCTCCTTGCACAAAGGCGGAGGTAGCAGTCCTGCTGCTGGGTTGTTGCCCTCCTACGGCCTCCTCCACGTCTCCTGATGTACTGGCCTGTCTCCTGGTAGTGCCTCCATGCTCTGGACACTACGCTGACAGACACAGCAAACCTTCTTGCCACAGCTCGCATTGATGTGCCATCCTGGATGAGCTGCACTACCTGAGCCACTTGTGTGGGTTGTAGACTCCGTCTCATGCTACCACTAGAGTGAAAGCACCGCCAGCATTCAAAAGTGACCAAAACATCAGCCAGGAAGCATAGGAACTGAGAAGTGGTCAGTGGTCACCACCTGCAAAACCAGTCCTTTATTGGGGGTGTCTTGCTAATTGCCTATAATTTCCACCTGTTGTCTATTCCATTTGCACAACAGCATCACTATATTGCTCATACCAATCAAATCCTTTCTCCATAAGTGTGTAGTAGAAAATATGCGCAAAATGTCACTTGTGAATTTCTTCACAAACTGCAATGAGATCTGTATTTTAATTCTCTACCTGCATGCATTGCACACTTTAAAGCTGGAATCCGCATTACGGGAAACAGTGCCACTGTTCACCCCAGCACCTTGTTTTTTTTGTTTATGAAACTGAGGCGAGGAACATTCAGCATCGTGGTAATATCGCAAATGGAAGTGGCAGTTTCACCATTACTGATTCCAGCTTTAAGATATTTACTTTTTTTTCTGTGAATTGCTAGATGGTTGTTACTGTGCTGCTATCCTAATTACCCTTGTTAGAAAAGCCAAACGGATTGTGGTCTCCCAGGAATAATAAACTCGTAGTGTCTGAAATGAAGGAAGCGTTTAGTAATTTGCAGTGGATAGTGTATTGGTGGAAATGACCCTCTGTCTTGATTAGGGAAAACCCATCTCTTGATATTGCCTCTTGTTAGTCTTTCCATGATCGTGTGTGCGTGCATACCCTATCCTCCCTTTTAATGTCCTGGAACCTCGAGTTTGGCTAGCTTCTTCTGACATAGGCTTTCTCAATTAGTCTTTTCTTGATTCCTCTGTCTGAACGCTCTTCTACCCCAGTTAAGGTCTCCGTCTGTGATGCCCATTTGGTCTAAAATTAGACGTCATTCACCCATGTGCTTAGTCGGCAGGTTCAACAAGTATCAGTTCTCTTTGGCTGAAGTGGCCTTAATTTTCCCAAAAGGCCTGTTAATGAGCCCTAGGTGGTGTTTACGTTTTATTCCTTCGCAAGCGTGTTCTCGGCCTATTTAGTGCAAAAACATTCCCGCAGATGAACTGTACATGGGCAGAAGTCTCAGAATACCTAATATATTAAGTGTTCTGATATTTGCAAATTTTGCCCAAAGCCCATCAAACGCTAAAGTTAAGAATAACACACTCACTCTGCACCCTAAAAGGCCACAGAAGTGTAGGCCTTGTCTCAATTGCTTTGTGTTGGTGTGAAGTCTCCTCAGCTGTATAATTTCAGGTTTGCTATTCTTACCTTGTGTAGCATTTTCATTGAGGCTTACTTTGGAAAAACGACCTTTTCATGAGAATTTCACTGGTATGCAGGTGTCAAAGGCTCAAAGCAAACCCAAATGAACCCTGAAGTTTGACTTCTCCATTGTTGTGAATTGAAATTAGTGTCAATGCTGATAGTTGTAATTGCTAGATGTTTCCAATGTTGAATGTACACCTCTTCTGACGCGTCTCTGCTTCACCTAGTTATGGATTCTCTCTGCGTTCTCATGTGCATTGGTTGGCTTCTTCACTCATTCTGACATGCCTAATAGTTGTTTTTCTGGAATTTGAAGCTACATAAGAAGTAGGCTACTTGAGCTAATAAAAGGACATTGACAAATTATAACTTGGCTATATAAACTAGGGTTGTTTTTGTAAGGGTGTTATGTCTTGCACTTTTCATTCTATTATCCCATGCCTATCTCACTCACGCACCCAAACATTGGTTCCTGAACCCCAAACATATTATTCCTGTTGCCAGGACAAAATGTGTTCAAAATCAAAGCATAAAAAAAAAAATGGCGTAGCCAGGTTTGAATTGGGGGCATGCATATTGCCTCAACCCTCACTCTTGGATGCACCCTTGTGATTTTTATACCCTACTATGGAAACCTAATCTGACCTTTTTTAGTAGCATGTGTCTCAGTTTGCATTTTGTGTTTCCAGGTACGAACTCTCTTTGTCAGCGGCCTTCCAGTTGACATCAAGCCACGGGAACTCTACCTGCTCTTCAGACCATTTAAGGTAGGCCAGAATCTTTTGTCAAATGTTTCAACTATTTTAGTGTCCCCCCCCCCCCCGATTCACCTTATTGACATGTTTAATAAGTGTGTCCATCTTGTCAAGTTTGCTGTTCTTATTGTGCAACCTTCCTGCCATTTCTATGGTGACTTACAAGGTGTTTGGGGTTTTACTTGCATTTGCAGGGTTATGAAGGATCCCTTATTAAGTTGACATCAAAGCAGGTGAGATTAAGTCCATATCCAAGGTATGATGGGTACTGGAGTCTGTATAGTCAGGATGTTTGTACTGTAGACATTTTAGACTTTCTCATGACGCTCTAGTAGTCTATATATTAAATGTTTCCTTCATTACTACCGCTAACACACCATTGTTTGCATGTGGAAATGTAACAGTGTACCTTTTTAAGCCAATTTAAGGGCCATCGGTCTTTCCCTGTACTGTCTCTGATGCTCTGTTCTCTCGCTCTCTTTTCCAGCCTGTCGGGTTTGTTACCTTTGATAACCGGACTGGCGCTGAAGCGGCGAAGAACGCATTAAACGTAAGCAGCCATTCAGCCGTTAATAAGCGGACATGAGGCTAGCCCTGAATTATTGAGTAGCCCTCTTCAACCTTTGGGGATATGTCTTTATGCTGAACTGCAGGTTGACACCTTGACATAAGAACGGAATGTTAACCTTGACCTCAATTCCAATATGCAATATTGTTGGGTCATGACTGCCCACCTAAGGATGACTCAATTGTCTACTTGTCATAATGCAGTTGAAATGTGACAGGATGGCTGTTTTTACTGCGATATCTTTCACATCTGTTTCAACTAATGGAGTCCTGTATGGCCTATAACCAAAGTAAACTGAAAGCCCTCCCTTTCCATATTGTCCAGAAGCTCTACACCCCCCTCTCCTTATATAAGCGTTTTCCTCAAAGGGCTTTTCTGAAGTTACCATGGTATAGTAATCATACCTGCATGCATGTGAGCACAGACTAAAGAGCACTTTACACCTCTTCGCAGAGTATCTCCACCGCTGCCCCCTTCTCCACCCCCTTACAGTGTTCCCCATCTCTCCCTAGGGGATCCGTTTTGACCCAGAGAGTCCCCAGACTCTGCGCTTAGAGTTCACTAAAGCCAACACGAAGATGGCAAAGAGTAAGCTGATGGCCACTCCGAACCCCACAAATATCCACCCAGCTCTAGGAGCACACTTCATTGCACGGGACCCATGTAAGTCTGCGGCTGCACCCTAGAAACACTCACCACGTGGACATAGGCTACTACCAATCCCCCTCTTTCCTCCCGCTCCTTTTAGAATATGCCCTACAGACAATGCTGGGTCAACTAATTCACCTCTACACCTCAAGTAGATTTTTCTGATCTGTTGCTTTCTCATAGATCATGTAGTTTTGTCTCGGCTGGTCAGGCACAACTAGGTAGTGCACGATGTTCCACTTCAATTAAATTCACCACAATTGTTGGAACCAGGACTTAGAGGGGTTAATCAAACCCACATACACCTGCACTTTGCTCCCCCAACATTCTGTAAAATCCCCACTTTAAATAGTCTCGGCTCCTGTCCTTCACGACGAGTCTCCAGTAGTAAGGCACGAGGAAAGGAGGCGCTTCAGACTAGCTGGACATGGACCCAGTTTGAGTGCTTGACCAGTACATCGTCCTGCCCTTATTCATGGATCACTGATCTAACATATTTGCACAGGTGTAAACAATTGGGTTGGGAACTTGATTTCACCTGTCTTATTATGTTAAATCAAAGATCATCTGGAGGGCCAATTACTTTTTAAACATGACCATAGTCCTGGGTTATGTTTAGTAGGCACCTAAAGGGAGAACATGCTTTGAAACGGGGAGATGCTACATTAAATTTCCCTGAAGTTATCTTTCTGTTCCCCCCCAAAAAAAAATTCCTAAGTGTAGATCAGAACTACTACTATGCATTTGAGGATATCTTTTTCATATAGATGACCTGACGGGGGCAGCACTGATCCCGGCCTCTCCCGAGGCGTGGGCCCCTTACCCCCTGTATGCCACGGAGCTTCCCCCTGGGCTCCCCCACGCTGCCTTTACCTACCCGGCCGCTGCCGCCGCTGCCGCAGCCCTCCACGCCCAGGTGAGGGACCAACCGGTGGGTCTACTGCCTCTTCAGCGTCTCACTCATTTACCATGCCTTGCTCTGTGTCGCATGTGATCGCAAACCAAGCAGGAACATGCATGGATACACATCAGGATTGGGATCAATCCCAAATCAAATGTTTCTCCTAAATTGGAAATTCATTCTTGATTGTACATGTTTGAAATGGAACTACTATCATCTGACATCACAAGGAACCAGTAGTGAGCTTATCCACCCTTAAACATTCACAACCTGACACTGTATTGTTCAGCATGACAGGGGATCCATTCTGTGTGCATTTAGGGGGCTTGGTGCCAAGCCCACTGACCTGCCGGTCTTGCATACTGTAAGAAACCACAGCAGTGTCCAACCTCTGTCCGCTTCACTCCTTTCATAAAATTCCTCACCAGAAACAATGCGAGACACTTTACCCCGTATTTAATGAGACCTCAATTCCATGTATCATACTTGAGGGTCAGAGTTCATTGTGAATAAAACAAACAATGCTCTACCTGAGCAGTTCTGTCAAGACTGTCCTCACTTACTCGTTTTAAGAGGTCATAAACATTCCTGTGCGCAGGAATCGTTGCTAAGAGATCACAACAGAGGAAATCTGTTTTTAATTGGCTCTCAGGTTGGATTATGCATTGGTCGTTGAGTGAATCTGTTGCCCATAAAGTCCTGTTAAACTTTAGTCAAGCCTCTCCACTGTTGGCTGTTTTTATGACCTCTTAAAACGAGTGAGGACAGTCTTGACAGAACTGCTCAGGTAGAGCATTGTTTGTTTTATTCACAATGAACTCTGACCCTCAAGTATGATACATGGAATTGAGGTCTCATTAAATACGGGGTAAAGTGTCTCGCATTGTTTCTGGTGTATGACATCTGTTGCATGACATTTAAGTTGCTTGCTTCGCCCCTGATATGCATCTTGATGGCTTTGTCTCAAGTAAAATATCATACATTTTATTTTACAGTATAAGAATGTAGCCCATCACTCTGGTGACTAGCGTGGTATGACTCTAAATGTTTTTAATGGGGTTCATTGTAAACCTTTAATCGGTTGTGACTGGTTGTCCTGAGAACCAGCTCAATCGCATTCATCTCCTGTCTGCCACTCTCTCTCTGTCTCCCCACTGGGCACAGACATCAATTCAATGTGTATTCCACGTTGGTTTAACGTAATTTCATTTGAAATGACGTAGAAACAATGTTTATTCAACCAGTGTGCGCCCAGTGGGTTGAGCTTTCGCAAGCAAACTTGCAACATTGTCTCCACTGGGTCCTGCCCGCTAGCAAACTTGCAACATTGTGTCGACTGGGTCCAGCCCGCTAGCGAACTTGCAACATTGTTTCGGGACAGACAAAGCTGTACTTGAATCCAGTATTTCAACCCCTTTCCAGGTGTCACAACTTTTCTTTTAACAAAAAAGGTACAGCAAAACGCAAAAAACAGCAAAACGCATCAATGAATTCAGGCTACAAGAGTGTAGGCCTAATGACAGTCGATGAATGTCATTACACTTTTTGGTGTTTTGTAACAGATGTCTCTTTTCATTGATCAAATGGCGGGTGCACAGTGCACTGTTTGGATGCTGGAATTATTTTGGAGTGGACAAATGTGCGCAGGTAGCCTAATTTTTTAAATGATTTGTTTGACAATCAGATGAGAACATCATGACTGGTTGTGTTAATGCCACATCAAAAGGTAATACATGTTTACCGTTTAAATACATGTCTTTACTATTAGGCCCATAACAAACAAAAAAATGCACGCGCAAATAGGAGTCCCTTGAAAAAACTTTACACCCCCTGAATGTCACAGTATAATTCACACTTTGCCTGCATGTCCTATCTCTTATGTGAAATTATTTAACCGGGGGATCTTACTAACGACTCCATTGATCAACTCATGACTGTTGCCATAGAAACACAGTGTGTGTTTTGTCTTTCACATAAACTATTGAGTGTTGTGCTGTGGTGTTGGACTGTCTCTCAGGGCCTGTTTGGACATCGCCCCCAGCCAAGTGTGAATAACGGGCTCCAGGAGAGCTCTGCTTGTGTGTGTGTGTGTGTGTGCGTGTGTCTGTGTCTGTATGCGTGTGCACGTGTGTCTGTTTGCGTGCCATCGTGTTGATGCCTATTTTTGCACTATTCAGGCTTAATTCAGATTAGTATTTAACAGTTAGTGAATATATCCATGTAGACTTTGAAGGAGGGGGAATTAGATTGTGAGTTGCTTGGTCTCGTGTTGTCCCTCTGCATTCTACCCACGTTTCTCCCATATTTAGCTCACCATAGGATTACATTTAGTAACCAAGTTAAAACCACTGTCTTCCATGCTTTCCTTACGGACAGTCGTGTTTGTGATTTATTGCTTTATTGCCCCCCTACCTTACACTAGGGTGGAGGGGGGGGGGGGGGGGGCACACTGGTAATGATCAGAGATGATGACCAACCCAAACTAATCACATAACTATATGCTGAGTATACAGTACCTCTAGACTGGAGGTTATATAGGCACTTATAGTAACAATGAGGTAGATTGGAAAGCTTCATCCCTCACATCTAAGCCTGTGATAAATACTGAGATGGTCACTGCACTTCTAATTGAATAATTCACATAATTCATATCTATAGTCTAGCTTTTTTTCTATATTCTGAATAAACCATTTACCCAAATTGTCATTGATATACTGTTTCATATCTTCAAATACTCCATAGCATGGGATTAAATGTGACCATTGTGCTGTCACTGGGACTGGCTTTGTGGCTTTACTGAACAGGTAGTCTCTCGGGACAGCCTTAAAGGGGCAATCCGCAGTTGAAACAATAACAAAGCGGCCACAATACAGAGTAGAGCCATGGTGAGTGAATGAGTCAAGCCACTGCAATAACATGCTTCGCAACTCAGGGTACAGTGTCACAAATAGGTTGGGATTGCTGCTTGAAAGATTTCAGAGTTAGTTTAATATTGTAAGACTCATGGCTCTATTCGATCAAGCCTACATTGCAATATTTATGTAGCATGTCAACTATAGTCTTTCGTGGCCATCCTTCCAAATCTCGTCTTATGGGTCGTTGTGACACTCTGGCTCTAGGACTTTTTATGTGAGCTAGAGTGTATGTTGTTTTGTTGGGGTTTTGGGTGTTTTTCTATGTTGGTAGTTCTGTTGGGTGTATTTCTAGGTTTGCATGTCTGTGGGGTGTTTTTCTAGGTTGTATGTTGTCGTCAATGACTCCCAATCGGAGGTAACGAGTGTCAGCTGTCGGCTCGTTATCTCTGATTGGGAGCCATATTTAAACTGTCAGTTTTCACCTTGTGGTGGTGGGTTTTTGTTTCCATGTTCCAGTGTTCCATGTTCTTAGTTCTGTCAGTGTTGCAGAGGACTTCACGTATCGTCATTTGTTTGTTGTTTTCGTGGTTGCTTTTATTTAATAAAGTCATCATGTTCACTCCACGCGCTGCGTATTGGTCCGTTTCCTCAGACGATCGTGACAGAAAAACCCATCATCAAAGGACCAAGCAGCGCGTCCAGGAGCAAAGGGTCTGGACATGGGAGGAACTGTTGGACGGTAAAGGGTCCTGGACTTGGGAGGAGATCCTGGATGGTATGGATCGCCGACCATGGAACGAGACGGTGGAGAGGCGACGGCGAGAGGAGCAACGGCATCAGCAGGGCCATCATCGTTGGAAGGACGAGAGGCAACCCCAAGACATTTTTTGGGGGGGGCACATGGCTTGGGCGACGGAGCAGCAGGAGGCTGCCACAAGGCAGAGTCAGAGGGCTGCCAGGTTAAGGGGGCTGACGGAGGCAGAGAAGGGACGGATTCAGTGGGCTACCAGGTCAAGGGGGCTACTGGGTAAAGCAGGGAAGGAAGGTGTTGAGGCACGGCGTGAGGTACTGGGGTGTGTAACCAGTCCGGTCCGGCCCGTTCCTAATCCCGAGGTGCAGCCAGTAGTGTGTGTTCCCCGTACGGTACGGCCTGTTCCGGTCCCTCGCACTAAGTGTACGGTGCGCGTCGCCAGCTCGGTTCGACCTGATCCTGCCACCCGCACCAAGTGTACGGTGCGCGTCGCCAGCCCAGCCCGGCCTGTTCCGGCCCCTCGCACTAAGTGTACGGTGCGCGTCGCCAGCCCGGTTCGGCCTGTTCCTGCCATACGCACCAAGTGTACGGTGCGCGTCGCCAGCCCAGCCCGGCCTGTTCCGGCCCCTCGCACTAAGTGTACGGTGCGCGTCGCCAGCCCGGTTCGGCCTGTTCCTGCCATACGCACCAAGTGTACGGTGCGCGTCGCCAGCCCGGCCTGTTCCGGCCCCTCGCACTAAGTGTACGGTGCGCGTCGCCAGCCCGGTTCGGCCTGTTCCTGCCATACGCACCAAGTGTACGGTGCGCGTCGCCAGCCCAGCCCGGCCTGTTCCGGCCCCTCGCACTAAGTGTACGGTGCGCGTCGCCAGCCCGGTTCGGCCTGTTCCTGCCATACGCACCAAGTGTACGGTGCGCGTCGCCAGCCCAGCCCGGCCTGTTCCTGCGCCACGTAGGAAGCCTACGGTGTGCGTCGCCAGCCCAGCCCGGCCTGTTCCTGTGCCACGTAGGAAGCCTACGGTGTGCGTCGTCAGCCCAGCCCGGCCTGTCCCTGCGCCACGTACTAAGCCTCCTGTGTGTCCCCAGAGTCCTGTGCGTCCTGTTGCTTCTCCCCGCACTAGCCCTGAGATGCGTGTCCTCAGCCCGGTACCTCCAGTTCCGGTACCACGCATCAGGCCTATGGTGCGCCTCAGATGGCCAGAGTCTGCCATCTGCCCAACGGCGCCTGAACTGCCCGTCTGCCCAACGGCACCTGAAATGCCCGTCTACCCAACGGCGCCTGAACTGCCTGTCTGCCCAACGCCATCTGAACTGTCCGTCTGCCAAGCGCTGCATGAGCCTTCCGCCAGACAGGATCAGCCAGAGCCTTCCGCCAGACAGGATCAGCCAGAGCCTTCCGCCAGACAGGATCAGCCAGATCCGTCAGCCAGCCATGGGCAGCCAGATCCGTCAGCCAGCCATGAGCAGCCAGATCCGTCAGCCAGCCATGAGCAGCCAGATCCGTCAGCCAGCCATGAGCAGCCAGATCCGTCAGCCAGCCATGAGCCGTCCAGCCAGGATCCGCCAGAGCCGTCCAGCCGGGATCCGCCAGAGCCGTCCAGCCGGGATCCGCCAGAGCCGTCCAGCCAGGATCCGCCAGCCAGCCAGGATCCGCCAGAGCCAGCCAGCCAGGATCCGCCATTTAGTCCGGTGCTGCCCCTTAGCTCGGTGTTGCTCCGTATCCTGGTGCTGTCCCTTATCCT